AGATATGTACCATGTGATTATATAACAGGAGTATGTTCAACTGAAGGATGTTTACCATTGTATACTGGATCAAGCTGTAATCAGGGTATGTTTAAATTAATGAAAAAGCGTTAAAATTTCTTCTTTGAAATCGAATTGTTTGTTTTCCTTATACATTGGGGACATGTAACTTTCATTTGCACCATCACTTTTTCATTTCTGACGTCTTATGAATTACAACGTCATCAATTTCATTAAATTGTAAAATTTAATTTGCATACACGCCATAATCCAGTCAAGCTTTTCTAGAAATAACAAATCTAGAATAACAATCCCATAGAGAAATTAGTAATGCTATAAATAGTAGACAAATAGTTGTTTTCCTGTAACAAAATGACTAAGATGGCATATTAAACATTTTCGTTGTAAGGACTTTTCACAATGAGAAACTGTTAATGATCTGTAATTATAAGAATAGACTTTACTGGTTGGGCTCAATTCAAATCCTCTGCAATTATTAATTCGGACATTTTTCAACGATTGAACTCACTATAATCTTCATATTGTATATAATTACAGAATGTCCAACTAGAACTTATGGTAGCAATTGTTCACAACCTTGTTCAAACAACTGTTTAAATCTAGAATGTAACAATATGAATGGTATATGTATCGGTGGATGTAAACCAGGTTTTAAATCAGAACTTTGTAACCAGAGTAAGTATTGTATTGACATAAAATATACACTGACAGATATTTGCATGTTTCGTGATGAATGGAGTACCAAAGTCGAAATATATAAAACAATTATTTAATGTAATTAGGTCCAGGTCGTAAATATATTTTGTTAGCTTTCAAGGAGACTATCCCAGATAGAAAAGTTGGTAACTGTGATAGATGTGCTATGATATTGTCATTAAGAGAATATCTTGGTTTTAAAAAATGGGAAATATTGAAATAAAAGTGGTATCTTCGCTTTAACCCAAAATCCAGTTTGATATTTGCGGCTGATGATTCTTATTTTAATTGATAACCTCACACATATTTTGTTGTTGTTGTGATTTTGAAATTTAACTACTGCAACTATTCAGTTTCAGTCGTGGCTTATTGATATCACAAGTCATTAGTATAAAAAGAATTTTCTGAGCGCAGGACTGTTGCTCGAAACTTCCCAAACCTTTGCTTAGTTATTAGTAATTTGAATTTGTTCCTTTTCAATTATAAAATTAAATTATCTTACAGTGTGTGATAAGACAATGTATGGTATAAACTGTAGTAGATCCTGTAATGATAGAAATTGTAATGGTGCCACTGAATGTAATCATATCACAGGAAATTGTACAGCGGGTTGTAAA